TGAATTTGATATAGGTTGGGTTTCATTGTTTATCTCATCTAGATACAAATGTTAAGGATTGATACGAATGTTATGATTTTGTATCCAGATGAGATAAACAATCAAACCCAACCTTTATGAAATTCATAACATTTCTATCAATCCCTAATATTTGTATCCAGATGAGATAAACAATCAAACCCAACCTATATCAAATTGAATCATAACATTCGTATCAATCCTTAACATTTGTATCCAGATGAGATAAACAATCAAACCCAACCTATATCAAATTCATAACATTAGTATCAATCCCTGATATTTGTATCCGGATGAGATAAACAATCAAACCCAACCTATATCAAATTCATAACATTTGTATCAATCAAAAACATTTGTATCCTGATGAGATAAACAATCAAACCCAACCTATATCAAATTCATAACATTCGTATCCATCTTTAACAATTGTATCCAGATGTGATAAACAATCTTACACAACCTATATCAAATTCATAACATTCATATCAATTCCTATTATTTGTATCCAGATGAGATAAACAATCAAACCCAACATATATCAAATTCATAACATTCGTATCAATCCCTAACATTTGTATCCTGATCAGATAAACAATCAAACCCAACCTATATCAAATTAATAACATTCGTATCCATCCTTTTCAACATTCGTATAATACAAATGTTATGAATTTGATATAGGTTGGGTTTGATTGTTTACCTCATCTTGATACTTGGAATACTTGGATACGAATGTCATGACAGGCTTGATACGAATGTTGAAAAGGATGGATACGAATGTTATTAATTTGATATAGGTTGGGTTTGATTGTTTATCTGATCTTGATACTTGGATACGAATGTCATGCTAGACTTGATACGAATGTTGAAAAGGATGGAATGTCATGCTAGGCTTGATACGAATGTTGAAAAGGATGGATACGAATGTTATTTAATTTGATATAGGTTGGGTTTGATTGTTTATCTGATCTTGATACTTGGATACGAATCCTTTTCAACATTCGTATCAAGCCTATCATGACATTCGTATCCAAGTATCAAGATCAGATAAACAATCAAACCCAACCTATACCAAATTAATAACATTCATATCCATCCTTTTCAACATTCGTATCAAGCCTATCATGACATTTGTATCCAAGTATCCAGATCAGATAAACAATCAAACCCAACTTATATCAAATTAATAACATTCATATCCATCCTTTTCAACATTTGTATCAAGCCTATCATGACATTCCATCCTTTTCAACATTCGTATCAAGCCTATCATGACATTCGTATCCAAGTATCCAGATCAGCTAAACAATCAAACCCAACCTATATCAAATTAATAACATTCATATCCATCCTTTTCAACATTCCTATCAAGCCTATCATGACATTCCATCCTTTTCAACATTCCTATCAAGCCTATCATGACATTCGTATCCAAGTATCAAGATCAGATAAACAATCAAACCCAACCTATATCAAATTAATAACATTTGTATCAATCTCTAACATTTGCATCCTGATGAGATAAACAATCAAACCCAACCTATATCAAATTAATAACATTCGTATCCATCCTTTTCAACATTCATATCAAGCCTATCATGACATTCGTATCCAAGTATCAAGATCAGATAAACAATCAAACCCAACCTATATCAAATTAATAACATTCGTATCCATCCTTTTCAACATTCGTATCAAGAACCTATATCAAATTAATAACATTCGTATCCATCCTTTTCAACATTCGTATCAAGCCTGTCATGACATTCGTATCCAAGTATCAAGATCAGATAAACAATCAAACCCAACCTATATCAAATTAATAACATTCGTATCCATCCTTTTCAACATTTGTAGCAAGCCTATCATGACATTCGTATCCAAGTATCAAGATTAGATAAACAATCAAACCTAACCTATATCAAATTAATAACATTCGTATCCATGCTTTTCAACATTCGTATCAAGCCTGTCATGACATTCGTATCCAAGTATCAAGATCAGATAAACAATCAAACCCAACCTATATCAAATTCATAACATTCGTATTCATCCTTAACATTACTATAGAAGCAAGCTGTTAGAGCAAGCTGTCATAGAGAGAGAGAATTAAGAAAATATTATCCGGTATTCGCGCATTCTTAGGAGTTTTATCTATCCCCCCCTCCTGCTCCCTTCACCCCATGCCCAAAATTCTCCCCCCCTTATTCATGCTTTTAATTGAACGCAGCATTCAGTCAAATCAGCTGTAAGATCTGGAAGTGATGCCTTCCCCACCTTTCACACACAATACTTGCACATTCGCCCCAGCCTCGACTTAAGGAGTTAAGCCCAATGAAAATAAAACCGACCTTGGTTGGTTTTAGTGAAAAATAAGGCTCAATGTTGGGTCTTATTCTCATCAAAACCCGGAATGCGCCAATTCCAACTATGAAAATCCGCCAAATACAACATTAAACCGGTTTTACGAACTAAATTCTGTTGAAAAATAGATTTAAATCCGAAAGCCCGAGTCGTATATCAGGCTCAACAACAGCTTAGACCCGAGTCGTAATTCCTTGAACTTTTTAAATCGCCGGCTCTGAAGGATTACAGCTTAAATCCTTCTAATTAGCTGAGAAAAGGAAAACAAGTTAATGCAAATTTGAAATAAAAGATAGTTATAAGGTTTTTTTTATTGGTTATTGCAATGCATTTGCACTTAGTTAGATTTTAACAAACTTTATCGTTGGAATTAATCAAAAACAATAAATTCTGACCCGTGAAAACATTAAATAATATTTAATTCAAGGTTCTTATTTTAATTTGTTTTTAATTATCCCGTTATCCCGGGTTCCTTGGAACCATGAATATATATATTTGTAAACTTCCTTACAGGGACTGTAAGCAAAATTTCAAGTGACCCTTCAGTTAGATTCACTGACATAGGGTCAAACGACATTGGGTCAAACGCCATAGGGTCAAACGACAAACGGTCAAATACGCGACAAAGGGTAAAACGACAAAGGTTAAACTAAACCGACATAGGGTGAAAAACTGCGACAAACGGGCGCTCAGCCCAGAAATTGTCTTAACCTAGCCTAACCTTAAAAAATACATATTTTTGTGTTATGTTTAATGTTCATTTGAACTTCTAGTCGTAGCGCTCAGGCCCCGCAGCAGTGCTCGGCCCAGAAATTGTCTTAACTTAGCCTAACCCTAATAATATACATAAAATATTTTTTCCCATTTTGACCGTTTGTCGTTTTACCCCTTTGTTGTTCGACCCTATAACCTTCAGTTAGATATCAATATTTAATTTTCCCTACATAAGTGACTTGCGCATGTCTACTGCAGGAAAACAGGTTGGATTTATCAGAAACAGAGATATCTTCCACATTATTACCCAGATAAAAGTTTCAATGGCATCGTATGTGAATCGAACATTGCCATCTTTGCATGGAGGGCTACTTAAAATTTCGCATACAGTCTCTTAAATTTCTGGACTAGGGATAGTTTCGCACTCTGCAAAGTGTAGAACTAGAATATATATTTTTCCCGCCTGATTTGTGTGCACAGATGCAGTTCTAGTGTAAATATTGGTTAATATCATATTAGCACTCTTGTTTACGTGCTTGGTGCACTCACTGTTTAGCAGAAGTCCGAAGCCGCGCTCAATTTCAATGCAACTAAGTAATTGGCGTTTTTGGAGGTAGGCAACTTTTAACTTTTAACACCCATCCATATTAAAGCGGTGGGGGGGGGGGGGGGGGTGTGATTAGATAGTTTCCAGTGCTTGTGGTTTTTCTTTTGAACTACTAACTGTCGGCCTAACTGTAAAATCCGCAAATTTTCTTTAGCGCTTTTGTATTTGAGAGCAATAAACTAAGTTCTGCGGAATTGTAATTTTCCAACCTGGCATTTCCATTTAAATCATCATAAACTTTGAGGCTAAGGAGCCCGTGGCCAGTGGGGACTAATAATCTTGGATGCACTTAATTTTGAATTAGCAGATTAACTTGGACTTGTCTTTGAAATAAATTAGTTGAACTTGTTTTTGAAATAAAAGAATTCTAGCGAAAAAGCTTCGAAAATGGTGCGAACGGATTCATATAAAAGTGAATTTTAAATGTTTAAAAGCAGGGATACAGTGAGAACCATAAAACAACATAACAGAAAGACGATTTGTAGACTTAAGTTGCGGCTTTGAATAGTCTTATGGACATGAGACACAGCAATTGAGCAGTGTAAACCGACGCATTTAACCTAATGACTGATTTAATAAGTCACTATTAAGAATATTTGTTTTGTCACATCATCAATTACACCAATATATAAACAATATGTCAATTCTGCGAGAAATTTTAAATAGAATAAAATCATAACATCATTAGGGGGTTGCACTGAACAAGTGGAAACTCTTAAAAAATTCTCTTCCATTAACTAAATCACAAGAAGATTTTACAAAAAATTTATTTAAATTTAATATTTCACATTGACAGCATAATTTTTGATTAAAATAAGAAAAAAAAACTGATTTGAAAATGGACGTCAGACTTGAATCTTGACACGATCTTTTATACCAAACCTAAAACCTAAATTTGTAAGTAACGCAAAGCTAGAAAAAAAATATTGCTTTTTGCTGATCAATATTTAATAGTGCATAAAAATCACGGTGGACTAACTTAAAAAAGTTATTATGTACAGAACGAAAATGGCGGTCAAAAGGAATGACATTTGCAACTAAATCGCAAGAGAAATGACGTTTGACAGTCATGGAGTTAAGTGGCGGAACAGTCTGTAATATGGCGGGTAAAACTTAGGAAAATAGAAAATGGCGGGTAATATTGAGGAAAATGGCGGATAATACTAAGGTAAGCGCAGGTTATACTCAGGAAAAAGGCGGCATATACTCAGGAAAATGGTGGGAAAATTAAGGGAATTGGCGGGTAATATTCAGGAAATTGGCGGGCAAAAATGAGGAAGATGGCGACTGTAACCTTTGGAAAATGGCGGTTGATTTACAGCGACAATATTAATACACAAATGAAGCATATGTATTACATATAAACATATTCATCCAACAATCTCAATTTTCTAATTAGGGCTTAAGAGAGAATTTTCATAAAATCGGCGATATATAAACTATCGATTAAAAAAGTCCTAAATTTAGGATTCTTTTTCGGGGCTCTGGTTTTAAAATGAGGATACTTGAGTCCTTTGGATATGACAATTTGTCCTATAGATATGACCATTTGTCTTTCAGATATGACAATTTGTTCTCAAGACAAGACAATTTGTTCTCCAGATAAGACAAAGGTTCTCTTGATATCCACTGGATATTACAAGTAGTCCTTTAGAAAAGGCAGCTTGTCATCTCTAGGACAATTAGATAGCTTGTCCTCACATTTCCCTCGATAGTACAGGTTGTCCTAGCTCTATAGAACGTGTTGTCCTCTCTATAGAACAGTTTGTCCTGTCTGATGTCCTATGAAAGATGGAAATAGTATTGTCCCTCAGCAGCTGCCAACCTCAGTTTATCGTTCATGATTTCTCTAAACACAAAATAAACATAAACGAGGAGCTCAGATGACTATTCTAAAACAACTCTAAAGTAATGTCTTACGGCTTGTAGGTGAAATGTTAAACGTTTATAAGGGAAAGATCTAGTTGATGGCGTGTTGTTAATCTTCTTATCATCTTATCTTACTAGTTAAAAAAAGGCTAAATAAGTTCATGACAAAAAGTTTTTTTTATTATCATTTTATCATTGGCCCGGACTTTTTATTTTGGTCATTTATTTTACTTTAGAACCTAACTTCCTTAGAATTAAAACAATTAACATTTCTTCTTTTGAATATTATTAATTCATAATATAATTAATATAAATTTTTGAATATACTCATTAATAAAAATATTGTTAATGTCATGTATATTACATTAATAGGAGTATTAGTAGTGAGTACTAAAGAGTGAGGAGTATGAAGTGGGAAGTGAGGAGTAAGGAATTAAGAAGTATATGGGTAAGGAGTATGAAAATATGAAGTAAAGGGGTAAGAAGTATGGGGTAAGGAGTAAGTAATTAAAAAGTTAATGGGTAAGGGCTAAGAAGTAAGTGGATAAGGAGTACGGAATTAAGAAATGAAGGGTAATGAAGGGAAATGAAGAAGTGTGTAAGAAGTATTGAATTAATAAATGAAGGGGTAAGGGGTAAGGGGTAAGGGGTAAGGGGTAAGTGGAGTAAGTGGATAAGGACTAAGGGATTAAGAAATGAAGGGGTACCAGGTACCTGGATGAATAGTCGGGTAGTTTGAGGTAGTTCGCGCAGGTCATCACACTGGGCAGATAGTCATCAGGATTAACCTTAATAGGATATTGAGTTAACCCTGTTCAGCTCCGGATATATACACTATACATTCATAATAATTCCCCCCCCTTCCAAAAAATCCTTTATTTCCCCCTGCAGTAAGGTACAAATATGGCAAAATGCTTCTTTTATTGCAAGCTTGTAAGTTAACGTCTCATGTTTCATTTCCCCATTAAAGATTTAAGGGGGGGATTCTTAGTTGTTTGTTCAATGAATTAAAGAAACATAATTATTATAATTTTACATAATCTATTAAATGTATAGCACATATATGTATAGAATATAAAGGAGATTTATGCATAAAAAAATTATTTTATCAGCATTACAAAATCAAATCAAAATAAATTCCTATGTCCCAACGCAGTTTCCAAAAATTCAAATAAAAATATATATATTTCTGTGACTTCTGGAATGTAAATATTAATATTTCTTCCGTCACCCTTGATCAGTCAATGTTTTAATGGGAACGGTTTTGAATCGGACCCGAGGGACCCGTCACTCTACAGACGGTATTTCACTTTAAATTACATTTTCAGTCCCCTTAAGTACAATTAATAAGTCAATAAGATGGGGCCTCCGGTAAGATATATGGGTGAAAAAAATGTAAAACACCGAGAGTTACAGACCATCATGGTTGTTTTTGAGGTAAAACAATAATCAAATTTGAAAAATGTTTTGTTTACCTGGGACACCCTGTAACAAACTGAAGGAATGCTCTCTGATCCTCCTGGTTGAACTCAGACAAAATCTAATAAAAAAACAACATTAATTTCTTTTAAACAACAAATGTACAATGTACACTGTTTCTTTAATCTCACCATGTTAGCAATAATAAATTGTTCATGTAAAAAATAGATTAAAAGAAAAGAATAATCGTATTTTCTTAATAAGTAAGGACTGACCTGGAAGAGGTTAATGATGGCTGGGGACTCGTATGTATAACCATGATCTGGCTTACAGGCATCCATCAACACCTAGACAAAACATATATTCATTGTACAAATATATAATTAACAAAACTCTATTCTACTACAGGGTGTCCCAATAAAGATGGGAATTCAGTGACGACTATTATATCTTCATTGATGCATGTGGTATTTTTTCATGATTACAAACATTGCAGTATTCCAGCTTAAACATTTCATCTAACATTTTCAAATTGTGGTCTACCATTTTTGTATTTTTAAAATTGACATATTTGAACTAATTTCAATTTATCAATTAATCATAACTGTCTTAATATCTAATACATTGGTCAATTTTTAAGATACAAGAAAGGTAGATCAATTTATGAAAAGCTCGTCAGACGTGGAGTCTTGTTATTTTACACTCTTTGAAATGCATTAAATACCAGAGATCAAAAACGACTTTCAAGTCCTATGTTTATTGAGACACATTGAATAATATCTCTATATCAACTACTAGTTGGAGGGCCCGGCGTTGCCCGTGAAAAAATGTTTTAAAAAATATAACGAAATAGAAAAAAAATGAAAGGAGATTGAGCTAACGAACGAATTCAAATGTTTACTGAACGAACAAAATATGTCGTTGAGCGATAAACGATCGAATCAAAGAAGCCATACACGCCCACCTATATTGAAAATGCGAACGCATTCTCGAACTTAATAAAACCATGTTTATTCACCTTAAACTCCCAGCGTACATATCCACGTCCTACAGAACCACAGAATATCTGATCCAGCTCATCTAGGAAACAAATGGATAAATATGTAGATCAACTTATGAAAATAGTCTGTAAATAAATAATAGATATAATGATGGATAGAAAAATAGTTAAAGAGATAAATGGATTATGCATAAATAGAGAAATAGATAATATACAAATGTTAAGGTTGGTGCGCTAAACTTTAGATATAAATGACAACACATATTGATCGGAAAATAGAAACTATGGTTTTATATATACTTAGTACTTATCCTATAGAAAGTTAATTTATCTAATGAGTAAATTACAGATAAAATTTGGTTTGGATTCAAATCTGGAAGACGACAATGTTTATCCGCTACAGGGGTCTCTTCAGTATCAGCCTCAACCTTGTAAAAGAGGATGAGTTTATTGGGTTCCAGTGAATTGGCAGAGAGGAGAATCTGTTAGGAGAACGTGGGACTAGCTTGGGAATATCCTTGGCTTAAAACTAGGTGAAACAGGTACAAGTGACGGAGCCGGAGGTTTCAGAGCTGGAGGTCTGAATCATCTCTGAAAACATTCCGGAGTCTTAAAAGAGCCAATGGGAGATGATGAAACCAGTTACAACCTACTAACCTAGCTCGCAGGGAAACTTTCAGTTGGTGGTGGAAACGTTCTGTGAAGCCATTAGCCTGAGGGTGAAGTGAAGTAGTTTGAGCATGAACTAGGAAGGAACACAACAGAGACCAAATGGAGGACGTGAACTGTGATTCTTTATTGGAAGTGATGACTGAGGGAATTCCAAACAGAGGCATCTGATATCTTAACATGGCTCTGACACACTATGAGGCTGTAAGATTTGACAGTTATTGACGGACCAACTAGACCCACATGTATATGAGTAAATCTTCTACCAGGGACAGGAATGTGTTGAACAGGAGATTTGATATGAGACTGGATTTTACTCTGCTAGCAGTCTAGGCAGCTCTAAGCCCAGAGGTTAACGTCTTGGGAGAGAAACTCCCACATGTGGAAACAGCACGAGATAAATCTCCTAGAAGCTCTCTTTTCAGAATGGGATACTAGATATCAGGTAGTGGAGGTCATCCATTGACTTTTTTGATGAAACACATTGAAACAAACCATCCCAGATTTAAATGGGGCCCATGAAGTCCAAATATGAAAAAAAAATTTGGGGCCAGCAGTCTTCTTTGAATTACATTTCTTATTTTATAGTTAAAATGTAAGCAAAAATTTCCCTAAATAGGTTTTTTAAAATATTTATTTAGTTAGAAATTTAAATAAAATTTGCGAGACCGAGACTCCCATCCAAAAATTCCAAATTCACATTTAAGGCTTTCTTAATTTTTTGACAGATCCAATATTTCAGAAGATATAGGTAGTTTAAGAATAAAGTATTTGCCTTTTTTGGATCATGGGTTGCTGCATCAAGGAGGCGAGATCCAGCTACATTAACAAAGAGGTGGAAATATGGGAGAAAATCGGAGCCCAGGATAGGCATAGACATCTGCTAATAAAAAACTCCAATCAAACCGTTAATGGAGAGCTACGGGGCAAGTCTATAGGTATCCATGGAGGAACCACAGGCGGTCCTATTCCAGGGGATGACGGAGAACGAGGTCAATGAGGGAACACAGATACGTACGCGCTGGTGTCTACCCAGAATCTTGCTGAGGAAAGGGGGTTTCTCACAAAAATCTGGTTATTTGACGTCAATTCGGCTGGAATTGTGTTCAGATAATTTTATCTGTTGATTAGGTTCCTGAATAGGAACAGGGAGACCTGCACTGGGTTGCTTCATCTCCCCCAGCGGCGGTGATACCAAGATGACGTAGACACTGATTTCCATACTCCAGACAAAACCTTGCGTTGAAGAGCATTTATATCCTGGAGACACTCATCAGAGAGAGTGTGAACAGTGCCAGATTTACCTAGTCCATAATTCATCCACGTTCAGGGCCATTCTTCGAGGATCATTAATCGACTCAGTGAGCAGGTGAGATCTAACATCAGCTGAGGGTCTGTCCATAAACAATCCTAGAAAGAAAAACCCAGGATTCTTGGCTTAGGGAGCAACATGTGCATCTTATCCATCAACTCTGAGGGATGCTGGTCGGAGAGAAGATGGAGGCTCTGTAGGGCTTGGTAACGTTGGAAATCACTTAAAGTGTACATTTGAATCATATCATATCATATCATACAGCTAGGGAAGTGTCCAACAGCTCCTTGACCTACAAGGGGTATGCCATCACAATCCCTTATAGGTGAAGGCTTTTCAGCCTGACATAGTTTAAACCTAACGTCGGACACACCACCAAATTTGAGCCATGTAACCGGTCCGATTCCTTTTGTCAGCTAGTTGCCAAACAGTTGTATTAAATACATATTTAAATGCTGACAGAGAGAATCTCCCTCCCAGTTAACTGAGTGTTTAAAAAGGGTTTTCATGAGTTGAAACTATAGAATTACCATAAAATGTTTTTAAGAAGGTGAAATTATAAAATGAATTTAAGTGAATATTTTATGGAATAATATGAAATGTAATAAATAAGTAAATTATATAATAAACAATATGAAATGCATTAAATAAAGGGGAATTGCGAATTTATTCGACACATATACTACCTGAAGTTAAACGAAAGAAGGTGTATTTATTAAATGTTTCTGTATATAATAGTAAATGTTAGGTTATGTGATTTATAAGGTTTATTAAAGAATCAAGTTGTATTTGAAATTTAAGGCCATTTGTTGGTTCTGTCATTAAAATTTTGCTTTTATTTTTATAGGCTTCCAATTGCGTGTTATATCGTGTTTGTACTTTCATCTTTTATTACCGTTAAATTTAAGTATAGGTACATAATATATGTCATTAGACTATCTTTACATGTTATAAGAATATACGAGTGATATATATCAAAATCTATTTCAAATCATCCATTAATACTCAGCTTAGTTATACTACTAATTACAGAGAATAACTTACTTGTTTTATAAGTGATTAGGATGATTTCCAGCTGTTAGGTTGGTGTATGGTCCTGCCACGTAGTTCTGACCAATTTTTGTAAAACCCAGTTACAAGCAGATCCAGTGATAAACCTCTATCCACCATCGTTGTTCTATTCAGATTTTGTTCCTGTCCTAGGGTATATTCCAGTGTTTTACCCGTGCTCATTTGAATTATTCTTCTCGTTCTCTCCATGGAAGAACAGCTCAGTAGAAGATGTATTTCATCGTTCCGGCCTTTTAGACAAAGAGGGCAAGTCGTGACTCTTCCGTCATCTTGTGACATAGCATCCGCAGATCTAAATCCATCCCTGTTCCCTAATCCTGAATTCATAGATCTGAACTTTACCAACATTCTCGACCACTGGAATTCTTCTACAAATGGTGAAGGTTTCCACCACTTACGCGGTATGGGCATGATTCTTAGGCTGTCTAGCTCTTGAACTCGTCCTAAAATTTGAAGCTTGTGATATTCAAGGAGCTGTTTGTGTTCTATCTCTTGAAGGGGTAGGGATTCAGGATTGATTTGGGTCATCATTGACGTTAAGTATTTCATATATTTCGTGTTGTTGTTAGCAATGTTCCACTCCATACATGATTTTACGAGTTGGCTACCTTTAAATGTTGCACTATTCACTCTCTTGTAGAATCTCAGAAGCGACTCCTCTAGGTGCAGTCTGATAGGTTTCCATCCCAACTCCAGGTAAACAGCTGGATTAGCTGTTGAGTGTGGTAGACCTAGAGTGGATTTCCCTACTCTCAGCTGAATGGATTCCAGCTCCTGTATAACATTCTCAGATATTGGAATTACGTCTGTTGCGTAGAGTATACCAGGTAGTGCTACTGAATTCCAGATTGTTGATAATGATCGTATTTTATCTGGGAGAAACTTTCTGCTGGATAATACGACATTCTTGTACATATTTGCTCGTTTGAGCATGTCCTCACCTTTGTGACGGGATGTCCTGTGAGTTTCTAGATACTGTTGTACTCCCAGATACTTGTAGGATTCCACCTGTGCAATAACGTCCGCTTCGCAATCACCTGTGCTAGATACCGAACATATGTACTCCTCATCGGGTGAAATTACATTGGTCTTTGATACTGATACCATCATTTTATAGTCAGAGCACCAGGTTTCCAGTACACCCTTGAGTCTTTCTAGAGATTCTGGTGTGTTTGCAATTAAGATTATATCATCTGCAAATAATAATATCCCAACAACCTCTCCAGATTCTAGTTTCACACCATTGCCGCTTGTTTTCACTCTCCTGGCTAGTTCTGCTACATATATGATGAACAGAACGCTGCTTAAGTTGCAACCTTGGCGGAGCCCTCTTTGCTGATATTGCTTCCTTGATCTTTCACCGGTTGATGATGTCGAGATGTTATCTTGGAAGTAGTAGTTTTTTAGGAATGCTATAAGTTTATCTGGGAATTTGAGTTGTTGTAATCTAGCAAAGAGGATGTTACGGTCTACTCTATCATATGCCTCCTTGAGGTCCACAAATAAGAGGTAGGATAATTTCTTCTTGCTTTTATTCATCTCCAGGATTGAATTAAGTTTGAAAATGTTGTCACTGCATGATCTGTTGGCTCTGAACCCATTTTGCTCTGGACCAATAAGATCATCCTTCTCTACTGCTAAGCTTATCCGTTGTGCTAGTATCTTGGTTACTAGTTTTGAAATGCAACTAATTAGAGTGATGGGACGGTAATTACTAATGTCCGTTTGTGGCGGTTTCTTAAGGATCAAAGCTACATCGCCTTCCTTCCAACTGTCCGGTATTCTTCCTGATATCAAGGTGTTGTTTAACATCTCCAGCAGCTTTTGGCGTGCTACAGGTCCAGTGTTCCGAAGCATCTCGTTTGTGATTCCGTCCATTCCTTCTGCTTTTGAAGTATCTAACTAATCAAGTGTAACTGAGAGTTCGGCTAGGGTTATTGGTTCCATCAATGCTTCAGCTGTATCCTCATCCATCCTTTTTTCGGGCTCCCCTAGCTTTGACATATCGGGTAGAGACCACTCTATTTCTTCTTTGTTGAGTACTGTTTTGAATTTAGTTTCGAAGAAGGTTTCCACTAACTTATTCATTTCCGCCGGGTTTGTTGTTAAGATACCGTTTGATTCTAGGGCTTCAATTCCAGATGATTTCCTTGGTTTTGGATTAGTTAATTCCCAGAATAATTTTTGAGCCTTAGGACCTTTCTTATTTAATAAGATTTTTACTTTACATTTTGTATTGAACGACTCTTTGTAATATTGGGTTTTTGCTTTTACTGAGGCTGACTTTGCTCTTAATTTCAGTTCTGTGAATTCTTGATCAGTTTTATCTGGATATATTTTGAGGGATCTGCGGGCTGATTTGCTTTCTGCTAGAAGTTTAATCAACTTTGCTGATTGTCTTGATTTCGTCGCTTGGTTTGGAGTAGTTGTTGGTATGACTGAGGTTCCCGCCTTGCAGAACTCTGTTGTTAAGTAATTGGCTTGTTCTACTGAGGTCATTCCATCAAAGTCTACTCTCCCTGTTGAAAGTCTTGATTCTAGAATTTTGGTGTAATATTGCCATTTCCTGATCTTTCTTAGAGGGTTCCTTATTAGCTCGACTTTGGTTTTATGGTTTAAAAGCTCGACATCAAACTCCCAGAGCAGTGAGCTGTGGTCTGATTCAACGCTAAAGTCAGATGAATCCTGTATTGTAAAGCCTGTTGTTAGTGAGATTGCTTCCATTGTTCCTAGCCCATAATCTATTATAGAGCGATCATATCTGATTCCTAAGTCTCTATGGTAAGTATAGGACTCTTCTGCTTTATTTTTCCACTTCATTGGGTTCATGCAGTAGAGCCCGTTGGATTTTGCAAAGTTATTTAGTAACCCTCCGTTGTTGTTAGCCTTGTGCGGATACTTGGTGAAGGTGAAGTGAGCATCTGGTGTTATTCTTGCGTTAAAATCTCCTAATAGGCTCACTATATATCCCTGTTCTTCTAATTCCTGCTTTTCTTTACTTAGTTGCTGTAGGATCTGTTCGTTTTGTTTGAAGTTTTCTGAATTCTGTGGTGACTCTGTTCTGAGATATAACCCACAACAAGCTATCTTGTGTGTTCCAAATTGTAGTACGATCCAGGATCTTTCGCTGCTCATCCATTCTGGTGCATCCTGTTTGGAGTACCATGGTCGAACTGCAGCTCCTGTCTGTTTTTTGGTCCATAGGATTATTCCTCCTCCAAGGTTCTCATCTCTTAAGTACTCATGAGTGGCGTAGTTATGTATCGCTGTATCAAGATTGAGTGTTCCTCTTTGATGTTTGATCTCAGCAGCATACAGGAATAAGATGTTCTCATTTCTATGAATGGATGAATAACGCACTGCAAACTTATTGTCAAGTGTCAGGACAAGTCTAAAATTTAGTGTCACGCCAAGTGTCTAGTGTTTAGTGTCGAGTGCCAGGTGTTAAGTGTCAAGTGTCAGGTCAAGTTTAAAATGTAGTGTCATGCCAAATGTCAAGTGTTATGTGTTGAGTGCCAAGTGTCAAGCATCGATTATCAAGTGTCGATTGTTAGGTGCTAGGTGTCTAGTGTTAAGTGTCAGAAACGCGTCAGTTGTTAAATAAACGTCACGTGTTAAGTTTCACATGTAATATGTCAAGTGTCAGTTGTTAAATAAGCGTCACATGTTAAGTTTCACGTGTAATATGTCAAGTGTCAAGTGACAAATAAGTGTTAAGTGTCGAGTGTCAAGTGTCGAGTGTTAAGTGTGGAGTGTCAAGTGTGGAGTGTCAAGTGTGGAGTGTCAAGTGTCAAGTGTCAAGTGTCAAGTGTCAAGTGTCATGTGTCAAGTGTCATGTGTCAAGTGTTAAGTGTTAAGTGTCGTGTTTTAAGTTTCAAGTGTAAAATGTCAAGTGTCAAGTGTGAAATGAGCGTCAAGTGTCAAGTGTCCAGTGTCCAGGGTCAAGTGTCAAGTGTCAAATAAGTGTCAAGTGTCCAGTGTCCAGTGTCAAATAAGTGTCAAGTGTCAAGTGTGGGAGGTTAACTAAATCCAGGAGACAACAGGTGACATCTTGAGGCAATGCAGCTTCACAGTGAGTGAACTTAGTTTGTGAGGCAGTTAAACTCTTGTTCTCAATTTGAGCTTCTTCTTGAATAAACCAGACTTTCGGGGAACCAAAAGGTTTGCAGCTTCATTATTATGAACTGGATCTAGGAAAGTCAGCGTTTTGACCATGGCTACAGCTGAGAAAGGAAAAGAAATGGACTCCGATCACCATAACCTTACTATGGTGTATGAACCACTTTTGGGTACGTCAGCGAGAGTTATATTTTCCACAACAATGAAATCACCAAAATGAAGCAAATCTATATTTGATAGAAGCAGAAAATGTACTGAATATATATTGAATTCAAACAATACAAAGTTATTTCATCTAACATGTTAATTACAGATATAATTTGGTTTGGATTCAAATCTGGAAGATATCAATGTTTTTCCTCTACAATATGCTGTTTCATAAAAATAAGACATGAGTTGTAAAGAAAATTCTTTAATTTTAAAAGTAATATACTGATTCTGTTGGACTAGGGCTTCCTGTTCCATTAATTTAGGTTTGGATTAGATTAGATGAATTTACAAACAGTAAATTTGTTCACTTGTGTGTGGGCTAAATTCAGTGTAAACATGACAAGGTTCATATTAGATCAGATTACGTCTGAATACAGGGGACACAGAATATAAATGAGATATACAGGGGATATAGAGGATACAGGGGATATAGGAGATACAGGGGATATAGTAGATTCAGGGGATATAGTAGATTCAGGGGGATCTAGTTTGATATATTAAACAAGATTTACCTGGATAAAACATTTGCAGACTTGAGATAGGGAACACAGAGCTAAACCCTTCCCTAAAATACATCAATATTCATCAAAAGGATACAAAATAAAATAAGTTAACTGGAAGATATGTTTCATCAGTGTACAAATGTACTGCTTGATATCCCTGGTATAAAATGAGAATCTCCATCTGTACACTCCCCCCCCCACTGCTTAATAGCCCTGGTATACCTGAGACTCTCCATCTGTACACTCCCCCCCCACCCTACTGCTCGATATCCCAGGTATACCCGAGACTTTCCATCTTCCCCCCCCCCACTATTGCTAAATATCCCTGGTTTACCTGAGACTCTCCATCTGTGTGGAGACCCCCTCAAGGAGCATCCACTGAGAGACCAGGGAGATATACTGAGCCAGATTATCCAGGGATACATTTATATCCCGGCCTCCTTTCCTCAGCTCTAGACACAGATATATGCTAAATACTAAATACTATATAGTATATACTATACACTATATACAATATAGGTATCTTAATATGTTAAGCAGTTCTTGTATTTCAGATCATAACCGATTTGCCTTAAATGTTAGAAAACGCTAGCTTCAAGCTTCTATATTATTTTTAAGTCGGAATGTGCAAATCATTGAGCTATTTCAGGCCCCATTCCATTGCTGTAAAAGGAAGGGAAAACTTTATCCACATTCTGAAAGTTCATGAAGCAGGAGGAAACTTCCATTATCTCAACTTCAGAAAAAGTTTATTTAGGTATAAAACCCAAATAAGGAAATAAATGTGACGTGACATCGTTACTGGTAGTTTTCCTTCAAATCATTCCCTGCCCCAAATACACCTTAATATAATTTATCCTTTTTCAAGATTATCTAGATATTTGCAAATTGAATGACGCAAGCATTTACTATGCTTAAGATCCAAGTGATCCAGTTTAGTGCAAAATAGAAAATTGCATGCATTAAAAATAGGAAGTGTGTGTGGGGATGGGGGGAGGTAAAAACAAACAAGGGTATGTCAGAACCGAACATATGTCTAACCGTGAATATAGACCCAACATTCAATGTTCATTGTTCATGTTTCAGTTACTTTACTATTTTAACAGAATGAAAAAAATCCAAAAAACGAAAATAAAGCCAATCAAAAATTTTTCAAAAAACCTTTAAACAAAGTATAAAGAAGCAAGAAGGGGGGGTGGGGGGTGGAATTAATTACCTATATTAGGGTATCCAGGCAAGGTGAAATCCAATCCTGAAAATATTAAGAAATATTAAAAATATAAAATTATAAATTGTAACTTTCAGTAAGATTTGTTATACCGACTTCCACACAATTATTTGTCAAAACAAACAAACAAAATTTATGAATTAAGATGACATTTAAGAAAACATGTGTTTATTTGATGTTGTACTAGAGTTTTTTTTTGATGTTGTTCTAGAGTTTATTTGATGTTTTAAGAAAACATGTGTTTATTTGATGTTGTACTAGAGTTTTTTTTTGATGTTGTTCTAGAGTTTATTTGATGTTGCTCTAGAGTTTATTTGATGTTGCTCTAGAGTTTATTTGATGTTGCTCTAGAGTTTATTTGATGTTGCTCTAGAGTTTATTTGATGTTGTTCTAAGAGTTTATTTGATGTTGTTCTAGAGTTTATTTGATGTTGTTCTAGAGTTTTACCAAATCAAATCAGACCTTTAAGGTACGTCCTACAGGGTGGTGTCCCACATCATATTAGATCGTCTATACCTCGATAATTGAGATTTTCGGGGAAAATCGGAAGATTTAAAAAGATTTAAAAAGATTAAATCATTCATAATGTGCGTAATTTGGCTTTAAAGCTTGGTTATAATCCAATATGATATGTGATGCTCTGTATGTCCAAACTTAAGAATTGAGATGACTCTACTAAATCAAAACTAACGAACTAACAAATTTAGGAAGTAAGATGACGATTGACAAAACTAGTGTTTATTTAATGATGTTTTAAAGCTTTACGAATCTTTAATAAACTCATTCTATGAAACGGTCTGTGAACACTGCACATATGCAAAGTTTATGTTGACTATTTAAAACCATGCTGCGTCTAATAGTCGTCTTCCTATTCCAAAATATTATGGATCAGACTGTACCTAAATCTTCTATGGGGCAACCATCCATTGTTAGTTGTGAAATCTCTTCTTTACGTTCAGCAACAGTTAACTTCTCATCATTCTCTAGCTTCTGTTTCTTCGCAACTATACCCTGAATAGATTAAGAACTAAGAGGTTACATCTGAAAGCCCTCCCGAAATGGGAGACCCAGTCCGCCCGTGGAGTAAAGCACACATAATGGAGAGATACCACCAGGAGGCGTGGAAGGATCGAAGTCCAGAGGTGTATCTTACATAAATCTGTCCTCTTTTCAAATTTCAGATCAATAACATCAAAATATATTTCTTGTAAATTGATGACCACAAAAACATTAGAAATCAATTCGTTTAAAGGGGTTAGGTGACCCTCCATTACTAGATGAATATGTCCGATTCAAAATGGCACCCTATAAACTTGCGTCTGAAGAACAGTAAGGGCAATTGTTGTCACTTCTGGTCCATTAATTATTTACTATATAATATGAAGAAATCCCACGTTACTGCGCAATATAGATATAATTAATAATAATGATTTAAAAATAAAAATGGGAGATCTTGTAAAGAGACAAAGGTTAACTACCTGAAGATGAGTAACTGTATTAGCTATATCTGGGTCTATTCCAACTAGATCCTGTAGATCGAGAACATGCTCCTCCTGTTAAACAAAACATAATCAAAATCAAATAATCAAGGATCATGATCAAAATACAAGAATCTATTATATTTGTGTGGATTGTGAATCTAAATAATATTTCTAAGTATTAATTGAATAACTAAGAAAAAGCTAGGTTTGTCTGGCTGAACGGCTTAAGTTAAATATTTTCTGAAAAACAAGGAATTTGTCAAGGAGGGGCTTCGCGGGGCCTGAAAACCCCCTGAAATCAATAGATTTCACTGGTCCAGGGGTTCATCAAAAATCCAGTTTAAAATCTCCTTTTTAACAAAAAAAAAAATAATTAAAATCTTTCCAGTGGCGGATATAAGGGGGGTTATTGGGGTTATTTACCCCCCCCTAGAATCCTGGGG